GCCACGCTTCTAGTAACAGGTGCCTTACTAGTAGTAACAAGAAGCTATGGAGCCGAGTGGAAAAAAGCTCGGTGCCCGGTGGAAGGGACGAAGCACAGCGACGGATGGATTTCTGCCAAGCAGGTGGCTGCACCAGTTGTCGTGATCCAAAGAAATGCATGAATCTCTGTATAAATCAAGCGATAACATCAAAGCATAAATATCATGTTGTTTTGTTCGACCGGAACTTAGGCATAACCATTAAGCACTTGGTTTCTGAGGTGCTTTACACTACCAGACTTGGGAATCACTCAACTTTGACATCAAACCTTCACGCAGTGGCTATATTCAAGGAAAACGGTCAAGCAGCGCGGAACGACGCGAAACGACAAGGCGTAGGGACGTCACGCAAAATCAATATGGTTCCCTGATATCAGATTGAAGGTTTGCCTGTACTCCTGTCAAAAGTTTCACTCCTGTCTAAATGTTCTTGTGAATGTTTTGGGCGTCTCGAACTTTCTATCATGACTCTCGGCAAAGCAATTCCAGCATGCCGAACCCCAGGAGGGCTGCAAGGGAGATAGGCATTCAAGGTTTCTCTCATTGGAGGGTCAGTTTCAACACCACCGCTTCCTGCACCCACATGGTGCAAATGTTTGTTGGGCAAATGGAATGGATGAATGGATCTCAGTCATCCACTCAGTGGATCTCTATGTCCTCCTCATCCAACCCATTTTGATGGATCCAATCTTCCGCGACCAAGGCCGTGTCCGTGTCCTTGAGATCTCGCGGGCACCTTGGAGATCTCGCCCTCGTGTCCTATGAGGATTGAGATGCAGGCACCCGTCATCACCTGGAATCCCATTGGGCGGTCGTATGCGTAGCTACGGCGCTTGGACTCGACGGGACGTGGATGCGGGGTCATGCGGCACCAACGACTCGTGGATGAATGGATTGGAAGCATGTGAAGTGGTTTTTGGTCGTCCCCAGCCAGGCATGGTGCGACCACCAGAAGGAAACACCAGCTGGTTCTTTCTACTGATGGTTATCAGGAAGGCGGGGGAAAAAAACTGAGTCTGAACAATCTCCAGAGGTGTCACGGCACCATGAACTACACTCCCTGGAACTAACATGGAAGTGGAGAATGGCTCCGTAAGGAAGACCATGAAATCCACTACAAACAGGTGGTGAACTCCACGTAACCATGGCTTGTTCCAGGCAGTGTAGTGATGTGAAAACAGTGTCTTCCAAACACAGTCTCGTGACCGATTCCTCTGGTGGCCAGTCTGATGTTTCATGATCGAAACTACCAGCGCTCAGGAGTCGGGACGAGTCCTTGCAGTGACGGGTCCTGGCAGTCCTGGCAACTCAAGGGAGCCTTCAAAAATGATGTCATACCCTTCTTCACATGGGTTTGCGAACATGTCGCATTCAAATCATGCACCACTCAAGAAAAGCAATGCGCTTCCTAAACCTGACCGTGCTCAGCTGGCTCAGGTGCTTCCTTCACCTCTTCTCTGGGCATCCCCCACGTTGTAGACGCGGGCCGTGCAGTCCGCAGAGGCCGTGACAAGGCCTCGTTGTGTTCGGATCCGACAGTACTCCACCCAAGAGGACCCATCAAGAGATATCAAGATCCTACAGTAAGTGTTTTTAAGTTAATTCTAATAGCTTCTTTGTTACTACTAGTAAGGCACCTGTTACTACTAGCGAGGCACTTGTTACTACTTGCCAACTGGGGGGGGGGGGTTGTGATTTGGTGTCTTTAATGTTTGAATATGAGGGCCCCGTTGCCCCATGCCGAAAGGAATGAGAGAAACAACCGATCAATGTCTCAAAGGATCTGTTTGGGATACCATGCAATGACTTGCAATGTTTAACGATCTGATTACCAGCAAGATGGAGACAAATCAGAGGTAAGCTTCCAGATTGGCGGGTCATGATCGGGTGTGTAATTAAATAAATATATGAAGATGGGGCATTCGACCAGTTGCAAAGCCGCACGACCGAGCTCTCCCTATTAAAAAAAGGTACCGACCGACCCAACAGGTGCAGTTCCTGACCAACACCCAAGCGCACTCACCGGTGGAATGCCCAAGATCTGTCCGGTGTCCCCCTTGGATTTGGTATGATTTGGGTGTCAACATCCGCACGTTTGACCTAGAAAGAAACCGAGTAAAGAATTGCCAAGCCACGATTGCCGGTGGTGTTAAAGCACACATCCAGCACCTGCAAACTGCTGCAAACTCGCCAACACGAATCCGTTGAACGAACTTGATGATGCGCGAAACAGAAACAGACGTCTGCGAGGTGCTCGCCCCACTTCTGCACGAAGACGTTGACCATGGAGGTCGTGTCATGGAGGTCGTGGCCGTGGCAGTTCGAACACGACCCCAGTCATTTGACCTGTAGACTTCAATGTGATTCATAGGTATTCAAATATGTAAAGATGGGAACATCCCCAAACCCATCAAACCGTCCGACCCCGAGACGAAAAGAGAGACCGTCCTCTCACTCCATCCCTCCGGGTCGAAGCGCGAGCCGCGAGCGCGTCGACGTCGTCGACGTCCGGCCTCGTCGGTGTGGCCCCGGAGAGTCTCCATGCATTGGCCGTTGTTGACGTCCCACAACTTGCACGTCCGGTCCTCGGGCAACGACCGGACGGAGAACGACCGGGTCCACGCGTGTCGTTCAGGTGCGAAAACAGGAACGTGGTTGATGTTGCACAGGAAGGGCTCTGACATGTTCAATGAATGTCGGTGATGTGTGTTCATTGCTGGGGTTCTGTCTTAAAGGTATCAATACAAGAGATCCACAGAAGCCAAAAAAATCTTGCTTGGTTGCAGCGGTCGGGGGGAGGAGGAGATGCTGATCAAAACGGCCATGTTGGGAAGTCTCTGCGATTTTGACGGAGAGGTGGACCGCCAACAGCACAGTACAAACATGGACACTGGAAGTCTTCAAACCTTGGGTCACCCTGGTCCCCAATACCAGTACGGAAGATAGCGAAGATCTGATTCTCAAACAGGATGTGACAATCTCCTGCTAAGTATATTTTTCTTAAGGACTGATAGAAACTGATAATTCCTGGCCCATTCGTGATCCGTTCTCCAAGATCCCCACGATACTTCCAGTGATGCAGTAGTCACCGGTAAAATCGAACTGGCAGAGGCAGCTTCTGCGGCATGGGTTTCTTACAAGTTTGGTTCAGGCACCACACATTGAAGCGATCAGAACCTACCATGCTGAAGAACGATCAGAATGGCTTTCAATTCCAATTATTTATTTGCTCGCAGACCTGCCAAACACAGGTCTGAGTCGATGATTTTCGGGGACACACACCACACACCTCCCCACTTTCGTATGGTCTGCTTTCCGCTGCATCACTCAACCTTTGGTGTCTCCCATTGGTCTTGGGGAAGAGTGCCCCAAACCCAAAAGAAGTGTATGTTGTACCTTTGCGCCAGCTCCTTTCCACTGTCCTTACCTTCTGTTCGAGCAGTTGCGTGCGTCAGTGGAGATGTGGAACCACTTCCCTTGTAGCAAGCACTTCCGGGCTCTTATTTCAAAGGACCGAGCTTGCCTGCGAACCAAGATGACGAAAGATTCACTGATGCCTTGCCAACATAAGGGGATTACCCTACAAGATCCTGCTTCGGAATGACCAGACCCTGGACGCCAGCTCAAGTTGGCATTGTTTGGGTCGTTACTTCTATCACAATTCCCACCAGGCAAATGACTGCCCGTGAGCATCCAAAAGCACATTCCCCAATTTCGTCCGACTCGTCACATTTGCACCGCCCAGTCGACTCGCGGTACCCGCGCCCGGTTTCGTCTAGGCTGTGAGTCCACGTCCATACTGATCAAGAGATATCAAGAGAGGCCCGTGGGATATCCGTGACAGCCAAGGTGACGATTCGATTGGTCACGTCTACTTCTAGACCTATCAACATGGAGTCAAAGTCCAAAAGCACCCCGTGAATCTCAGATATGAGTATACTACTACTATCTACTACTCAATAACTCTAGTTGGTTTATGCGTTTTTCAGGAGCCGCTGCAGTCCCCGGCGCCTGAGTCGAGGAGATCTCCCCTCTGTGTCCAGCCAGTGTGTGGAGACATTGCCCACTGAGGCGCGTGCGCAGTAAGGCGAGACCGAAAAACGAGGTGGATCTTGGTGACTTAGAAGATGTTGCTTTGATATATATATATATAGGGAGAGAGAGAGAGAGAGTGCTTGTCTTCTATGTTAGTGAGATTCACTATACCTTAGGGTTTGTATTAGAAAAGGGCTGGGAGAAGGCTCTCCTCTGAAAGGGGGTCTTCTCCTCCAATCACCCTGGTTCAATCAGAAACCAAACACGCCCATTCCACTCTGGACGTGTTCAGATTTGTGGACAGACACACCACGTGACGTGGCTTTGAGGGAAAAGACAAGGTTTCTCCAAAATGATGCAACAAAAAACGTGCGGTGTGGCACATGGTATATGACCGTTTTGGTACATACAACTCTTATCATACCCACCCTATTGAAAGGGATGAGAAGGACGTCTGCACGAGTGAGCTTGAGTCCATTTCTTGACATCGTTTCGGGTCCTAGGTTCTTGATCCATCTCCGCCGGTGTATTTCTAGTACAGTAGGGAGACCCCCAATCAATGTGTTTTGGTGTAATGCCCTTCTTCCAAGGGGTCTTTGGGAATTTAAAGACACCATGACACACCCACATACGCTGATTTGCGTGGCTTGGATTGCAGGCAAGGATTCCCAGCTTCCCCAAGACAAGACCTTCTTTGGTGGTGCCCCATCCCAAGAGGAACATGGTCAGCCTCGATGCACTGAAAACAGTGGAACCAGTCTCCCAGTGTTGGTAGATTCTTCACTTCTTGCTGCACACGAGGTTGGTCCAACACCCTGGTTTCGAGCTATCCAATAGACACGCGAAAATAGAGCCTCTTGCTGCTTAAGTTCGGTGGAATCGGGATTACAGTAAATAGCGGGTCAAACCAGGTGAAACAAGGAATCGCATCTTCAGCTCAAAGCTCCACATAGACCTGTGGACCCCTCCTTTTGTTCTTAGAGAGTCTTGGTCATATGCCTTCCGCCACTGCGAAACGCCTTGCCCACTAAATTTCAGTCTGCCTTGCCAGCCAAAGCCCTTACTCCAAACCGTTTTCACTGTGTTTGTCCCAAAAGATCCTTTTAAACGCTCCAAAATCTCCCACACCTTCCATTGGACCCTTTGCTCACCACGTCCCACCCTCTGCACCTTCGGACTTCCCACACCTGGGCGGCGCGGCGGCGAACACGTCGCCGTCGCCGTCGCCGTCGTCTCGTCGCCTTCGTCTACGACAAGACTCGCACCTTCGCAGTGTTGTCGAAGGAGCCGGTGAGAATCTTGTCGCCATCCGTGTTGAAGTTCAGTGAAACGATCTCGGCCTCGGACAAGCGAGCGGCCTGACAGGCCAAGAAAGAACAGCTGTTACGATCAGAACAAGAAAATGGAAGGAACGGGCGGCTTCAAGCACATACTGTCCTCAACAATGTGTACCATCGCACACAGTTCACAAAGTCCGAGGGACATTCAAATTCCTCACATTCAACTTGAGGCCCATCATCTACGAGGAAGGACTCTGTCTACTACTCTGTCTATTGGATTCTTCTCCAACCTCTATCCTGTCTCGACACGATCGATGCTCCAATTCTGGGCCCACCAGCAGAATGGCCTTCTAGGGACGCAATCTGCTGACCGGTGTCCACCTGTCAGGTGGCAACGTTCCAAGCGAGTCACGTGTCGTTTCCTGTGGATGGCAAGAGGGGGTGACTAGACAACTCCAACCAGAAACACTGAGCAAATCCGTTACCCATGGATTCCACATGGCAAGACATCAAGTCTCGCGGTGTGCCGCTTCTGGTCAGGCTGCTTCGCCGCTTGGCAAGACCACCTGCGGCCCCTTCTAAAACCATGGTTTCGTCCAAAATGGATGCCTTCCCAGATAAAGGCCACATCGCTCCAACTTCTGGTCGTCGCTCTCTCCAATACACATGACGACACGTTCTTCGAAATCGAGGTACCCAACATCTAGGCCCACCTTCCAAAGCACCTTCTCAACCAAAATGAAGCTCGGGCCCTACGTCCGACGTTCCCCCCGCGTCCGCAGCGGGGGTCCGACACTCCGACCGACCAACGACTGGCCCCACATCCCAGAGCTTGGCGGTATTGTCCATGCTGCCGGTGGCCACATGCGTGCCCTGGCCAGATCTCCACAGAAGATCAGAGGCACGTGATCAAAGAAGTCTCATTTATGCAAATACTGTTGTGTTGGCTTGGAGCAAATTGATGTATATAATTATATAACTCCAAAATGATGAGCTATTCAATATTCCAAAACTTTGGGCGTTTTTCATGGCTGCAAATTCACCACGGAACAAGCCGTTTACAACTTGGCGAAACACAACAACGGGGCTTTCGAACGAAATCCCAGACGTCTCCGGGCGAGGACAACGTGGAGACCTGGGAGGTCTCAACGAACGAGCGAAGCACCAAAGGTGTGACCGAAAGTGGTCCACCCCGAGCATTGAGTTTTGCTTCGTGGAGAGTCACTCGGCTGAACGTGTTCGTCTTCGCCCAGTTTGGCCAAGAGTCTCACTGTGATCTTAACCTATCTTAACCGTTCTGATATGTTCTGATTTTCCAGCAACCGTTGCAACGAAAACACCCGGTAGCCGCGCCTGTATATTGAAGGCTACACAGACAATCTCTGTATGATGACCTTTTAGCGTGTGGAGGCACCTGGGCGCTTTTTGGAAGGCTTCAAGGCGTCGTTGGGCATCCCACAGTCTTACATAGATGGGAAGTCTAAGAATGACAACAACTTCCAGCAGACTTCGCCATAGATGGCAATCCCGTGTTTGTGGTCGGTTTCATTGTGATGTTTATCATTCGCATGTTGAACTCGCATGTCTTTTTTCGGTGTCAGAATTGCAAAATACAACCATCCAATGCCTTTTAGAATGGCCCAAAATCTTCGGTTGAGTCTCGACGAACCGTTCGCGTGGCTCAGAAAACGCGGACCGGCCGGAGGTGCTCCGCTGGTGGGGGCCGGCAATCTCTGCGGGCATTTCAAGTCGTTATATAGATCGTCCATCTGTCCATCCAACATCGAATACTTCAGTTCTGCTATCTCCTCCGAAAAGTTGACATTCCACACCCAAAGCTGGCATCGAACTTGGCGGTGCCCCAGTGACTTGGATGTGGGACAAAAAAAGATCTGCATAAATCTGCCATGTCCATGTTTCTCCTTTGTTCACCTATGACATGAAATGGTCCGACGTTGGAGATCATTCCTGTGGGCTCCCTGACTGGCCAGTGTTGGCATCCCACAGCCTCGCCGTCTTATCGAAGCTGCCGGTGACAATCTGCCGCGCCGGTGCGGACGGAACGGTCGTCGGGGGTCGACTTCCTCGGAACGTGTGTACTCCCGGTGATGTTCTCCGTGATGTCCTCTGGGGATGCATATTTTGTGGGGACAAAAGAACAAGACAGTTCACTTGTGACCTTCGCCCAGAGGAAGCAATGATTGATCTCGTGTTGTAATTACAGTATATATATATTTATAGATATAAGTGCTGTAATTGTTTTAACTTGGAACTACAGCTCAGATGTTGGCTGCAGTGCTTGTTAGATCTTGCTTTATGTGAACTTTCACAACTGGGGGAGAACCTGCAACCAACGCGGGCCATCTCAGAATCTTGTTGAGGCACACACACAGTTGAAGCTTCCCATAAAAGTCACTTCGCGAGAGATTTCTACAGAAAGTACCTAGAATATCTTAGAATTCCAGTGGTGGATCCCTTTGCCATTCGGCCCCGTGCTGAAAACTATACATGGTTCTTTTGATCTGCAGTTTCCGAGGCTTTTTGGAGCGGACCACTGAAGCAGACCAGGTCGGCCTGACCAGATTTGACGGCAGAGGATCTCAATTTCTCGCAGATTCCGCAGGTTTCCCCCTGATGTTGCACGGAAAGACACTTGTTTTGCTTTTTGCTGCGCTGCTGGATGTGCCGGAATCGATGCCATGAAGACATCTCTTCAGCTTTATGTGTCCACGGTACCAAAGAACTCACCAGTGAATTAATTGCCCACGCCGATGTCGAACTGCTCACTTCAATTCTTGAATGCCAATTCGGTCCAATTCTACAGGCTGCTTCGGTCCAGTTTCATCTTGTCTTTTGTAGAATGGGTTCTCGACGAAGCAAAGGTGGAATGCTCGTGCAAAGGCAAGTGAGAACAGCAAAAGAGCAAATCTGTCCTTTCTCACGAACCAAACACCCCCGAGTTCATCTACGATCTTTTCAGAACTTATGTACAAACAGCCAGACAGTGTCCTTGGATTGACCAATATGCTAATCCCAAAGAAACACCTATAGCACATAAATCAGCACAATGTTGTGATGTTTCTGATCCGTTCCAATCTCAGTTCGTCCTCATCGGTTGGGGATCCACTGTGCACCGCAGTCCCTAAAGCTAGTAAGTACGACCAAGTCTCCAGGTTCAGGCAAAGCCTCCGATGTGACCTCTAAAGTGATACGTAGTGAAATAGTGTCCATCCAAATATACAGCCTCATACAGCAATCCATTGCATATAAATGGTCTCCAGCTTTTTAATGGCATGATTGATCTGTTCATTCATGGCGAAACACCATCGTCGATCTGGAGATTGCTATCTCATCCCCATCTCAGCATTGCCACATGGAGTTGGCAGATGGCCCAATTTCCGTCCCCACAGGGGAAAGGCAGCTCTGCCTACTGGTGAGCCCACATCTGTGCTTACATCAAAACAATTGCTCTCAAGATCGGAGATGAGGCTAAACTCGCAAAAATCTTCAAACGCAAAGCTTACAGGACACCCTGGAAAAGGAGAACACATGCCACAACGCGAATCACAATGGGGACTACTCCAATCCCTTCACATGAAAAAGCGGGAAAAATCAGCAGCTACACTTGCACCATGTGTCTCCAAAGTCATCTCAATGTGGGTGACCTTCAATCAGAAATACACACCTTTGGTTCTTGCGATACAAAGCAGGATGGCCTTGATCCGGCCAGCTCCGCTACATCTGCACCAAAGATCAATCAGCGAATTGGCTCCACCCTGATGTCAACTTATTGACTCTTATTGCCAGCACTATTGTTGCAGGAATTGGAAGGTTTGAGTAGCTGATGCTGCCAGGTTAATTCCATGGTGGAACAAAGCAACAGGTGGAAAGCACAAACACCACCTTTTGCTCAAGTGCAACAACATATTGTGCCCCGTGAAAGTGAATGGCACTCGCACAAAGCTACAAGCAGCTTCAACCCCATAGACACACCTCTAGCGCCAATCTAAGGCAACATCCAAAGAGTTTATGCAAGCAGTCCCCTCTTCAGAGACTGTCAAACGGTCAACCAATACCTCACCAACCGTGGTCATCAGGCCAGATTTCGCTGTGCACTGCACTCACACTGCGAATGCTGCTTGGCAAAAAATCTCCAAGTCAAACCTTGAATGATTTGGACAAATTGTGCCTGCTGAACACAATGTGAATACTATTGGATCCATGTCAAACTGGAGATTCCGTTTCTCACACTCATCCCTGCTCGGTCGGCTTCAGACGCAGAGAGGGCGTCTGGGCCAAACGGCGTAAAGTGGGGTACGTGAAGAGTCCTTTGTCCTTTGAATAACTTGAACTTACGAAACTTGAACACCTGTCTGCTTCGCTCTTGATACTGCAAATATACATTGTCTACATCAATATTTGCTCTCAAGACCCCGGAGTTGGCAAACTCCAAATTCAATGCTCAAACTGGATCCCACAGGTGTGCACAGGCCTCACTACCTTACGGAAGAGGCTCTTGCATGAAGCTGAGACGGATTGCCCTTGGTTCCAGCGTCCTAGCATAAAAGTCTTGCCTGTTCACCCTCGGCTCACGCTGCTCACCCTGCTCACTCTCCTCACGCTCGGCTGGTGGCGCACTTTTGCTCCTCTCCGCTGCTGCCCTTTCAACGACAAAGAAAGTTCCACGAACTCCGAGGCGGGTGGCCATTCCAAATGACGAGTGCAAGAGCGCTGTTCTGTCCGGCTGATCTGAGCCCTGGTCTTAGCTGCGAAGGTCCTAGCTCTCAGCTGGTGTTGGTTTCAACAATCAAGCAGTGACAGCAAATTCGTGTCAGGTGCGGCATGTCTTGCGTTTGAAATGTCAACAAGGATCAAATCTCGCATACACCTGATCTGCAACCAGGATCAAAATCAAATCTCACCTTTCCCACTGGTTGCCGGTTCAAAAAGGCTCCTCGCCCTTGGGCACGGCCTTGTCTCCGAAGGGATTGTTAAAGGCAATCGCATAGACCACGTTCCTGAATGCATGGGCACACGGTGACCCGATCGGCTCACGGAGACTCGTGTCGGGGGGAGCGGGGGGGCAAGAGGGGGGTTCGGTTCTATTAGGTACTGGACGCTCCTACATATGGACGCAGGATAATAGCGCAAGCGTCTATTCATGTGGTTCCTAGATTTAGAGAAAAATCTGAAAGAGCCCTTATTCCTGCAGTGCAAGCACCAGGAATCTGTACACCGTCGCCCCCAAACCTCTTTACAGTACAGCAGCATTCGCCATCTGTGGACCCGCATGTTCTTATACAAGATAGTACAAGAGATCTCATTCAAATGGCAGAATCTTCTAGTCGTCCCTAACATGTGCATCTACTGTCTACTGTATTTAGGCGCTTAGCCTGGCTCCAGGTGTGCTGCAAATGACCTTCACCAAAAAGTATTCTGAAAATTTCTGAAATGTCCGGAGGTGGAAGTGTTTGCCGGGAAATACAAGGACGAAGCAAAATGGCTTCGCCGAAAGCCCATGGATGCGCCGTCGGAGATCCTCGACTTGTTTTGATCTGGATCTCCGATCTCAAAGTGCTGGACGCAAAGTCTTTGCCATCATGGCTGTTCTTACTCCATTTGGCACGCCTCCTCAAAAAAAATAGCTCTCATTGACCATCCAAGTGTCAACATGCTGCCGTACTGCCCCAATTCATGAGTCTGTAAAGCTGGTTGTCAAGGTTTTGGATGCTGCGCTCTAGCCTTCTTGCTAACTCCAACCCTCCAGGCAACTAGTTCGTCAGATTGGCTTTGGGGCTGATAAGAGCAAGAGTGGCAACCTCACCAGGGTAAGGTGCCTCATAGCAATGGTGAATCTCCAGCTGTTCGGAATGATCCAGGCTGGTACATTGGTCCTATACACATGGGACAGTCCACAATCTGTACCCTCACCAATGTTTCACTCCTTCCAGTTCATACAGCTGCCTTCAAACTTCCATGGGTGCATGAGAATAAGGAGACCTTGCAAAGACCCTTTAATCAAAGGGATTGGGCTGTTCAAGCTCTAGCAGCACTACCACCTCGCGGCCGAATGGACTTCTCCCCATCAACACCCACCCTGCTCCATCCAAGCGTCTTGTGGCCATCTAAGGTGAGGAGCTCTTCCCCGCTCTGGCCAGCGATCGTGGACGAGTTCGCGTCGAGAACAAACCGGTGGACGGTATCGGAGTGGGCCAACTCTCGCACCCACTACAACCCATCGCGGAACGACCTGATATCATATAACAAAACCACATAAAACCTACGTAGCCAGCTATATAGATATCATTCAGGAGGGTCAAAAATGCCGCACTTGGATTTCTCATGATTTCTCTGCTTGCCGGGCTCTCCGGTGTTACTCCATCAAACAAAGCGTTTGCCGTAATTCTTCCCCCACAAGTTACAGCGACCCCCATCAAGACCCAAGCGTGAATCCTCTTCCAGCAGATCTTAGGGAATCATCAAGATCTATTCGGGGACCACCATTTTTGTGGTCTTTGGTGATATTTATATATATAGTGGCTCCAGCACACACTCCATGAGAAAAACATACAGTAGAAAAACCGATGCCCAAGATGAAAGAAGCAAAGAAGTTCCCAGAATGAAAAACGGAAAACAAATGAAAGAAGCCCCCGAACTTGGATCTCCATCTTCCACCCACCATACCCCTTCCCCATCTCCGTGTCTGGTCAGCCCCCGGCCAGCGTATCCCAGACACGGCAAGTCCGGTCATAGGAGCCGGTGATGAACTTGGAGCCCGACCTGAAAACATCCGCGAGATCAGCCGGTCCGGCGGAAGATAGAAAGCCCACGACTGGGCATGACCAGAAAAGACCTGTGGAGGGCGCTGTTGCAAAGATCGAACACGTGGAGGAATAAAACACAGCTCTTGGTCTTCAGATTATCTTCCGCCGGTCAAAAGGGTGGGCTCTTGAGTTCGCTGTCGCTGTGGCACCCACATGTTCGGTTTGACTTTGTGCCTGAGGCTGCAACTTGTTAAAGGCACAGTTGGTCAATGGAAGGATGTGCGCACGGAGGATCTTGAACAAGTAGAAGCGTTGAGAATCCTGCTGGAGATGGACATTGCGCATGAAATGGAGGTGGGTGTCAAAGATGGAAACTCTTTAGATCCTCGATAAAGGGATGGATCCAACTGCAAGGAACACCCCCAACAAACCATGAAGATTGTTGGCGGATTTAAGGTTTGGGAGTTGAGATTCATATCCACTTTGTCAAACTGAAACCCCGAGTAACGAAGTAAATGTGAAGCAAAACCTTGTGTCCAAAAAAGCCTTATCCGAGATCAGGAACAGTCGTTGTTTTGACTGTCAAGGACCCCAAATTTGAAGGTGGATGCTCTCAGATTTTCATAAGTTCCTGTCCCTTTGGAGTGATTTCTTCTGTACAATTGACATTATTCTTTCCGCCCAAGACCAAAAGTAGCTTTCAGAACTCATGCTTGCAGGTGTGTGATCAATGTACTCATACTATGTCGTACTCTTTGCCTTGAGCAAAGACAATACATACACTGCAATTTGCTATCAAGTTTTCCCATGCAAGTCATATTCCATCCTATTCCCACTATTTTATTGTGTTCATGAAGCACAGAAAACCAGACACGACTGGGGCTCTGGGTTCTGTTGTCCCTTTCTCTGGCATGTGTAGAGTAGGCTTCGCTCTCTTCAGAAGGAAGGAGCCGAATTCTGCTCCGAGGTTTTCGCAAAAAAAATTGGGAAACGAAGAACCCAAAAATTGGTTGGCCAACAGATCGGATGTGCCACGGATTGGACTGGGACTGAAACATCAACTGGAACGGGTGCGACCCCTTGATACCCTGCAAAACAAAGCAAAAGGGAAAACGCTGCAAACACCAAAGCCATCCAAAAACCAGAGTTCTCTGAAGGGAACTGCGCTTGTTGTGTGTGTGTGTAACCCTTGGAGTCATAGGGATCCTTCTGGATTTTGTT